GCAATTTGATGAAAAATTTAAAAATTAGATCTGTTTGCTTACTCTTAAACTTATTGAGAAAGATGACAAAACAAGGTTAACCCTTTCCACTCGCAAATTGCGAAATTTATATGTATTTTGTCGCGGAACGGCGGCATCCGAGTGGAAAGGGTTAATAATTCACTGATAATCGTATTTTTTATTTGATTGATTTGATTATTGTATCAATATGATAAAACACATGAAAAAAAAATCATTTCAAATCTTTTCCTTTTTAATTTCATGTTCTGCATATTGTAACAAAATATATGAAAACTTGTTCATTTTTATGCAAATGTGCATCCGCAAAATTAAACACTCTGAAGATGATACTAGCCATAATCCACATACAACTAATATAATATAATATTTCAGCATTTAGTATTATATGAGATATAAACAATATAAACTCAAAAATAACTAGTTGAAAGTGGCATTTTGCCTTAATGCAAGTTGCAAAAACTTCGCGATTGTGATGATTGACTTGAACCGAAATTGAGATTTAGATATTTAGATAAACTGTTTATTTCGAAAATCAAGTTTTTGCTTCCAATTAAATTTTAAAAATGCAATTTCCAATTGAATTTTCTCAAACACTTTTAAATTATCTGTAATTATATTAATTATATTAACACAGGCACGTGCTTGTATGTCCTAAAATTGACAAATTTTGACTATGATATTTTTTCAAACGTTGATGAATTTTTAATATTAATCTACTTATCGTAGGGCCGTATTATTTCAATATGTTCTATAAGACTGTTATTTATCGTGGAAAAAAAATTCATAAAAATCGGAATAATTTGTTTTTCGACAGTAAATTACATAAAATCGGCTCGGTTGATCTTTACCTAAAACTTCAGTATCATTCCCAACCAATATCTTTCGAACAATTTTTTATTTTTTTAAAGTGAACAAAAAAATTTTCACTTTTCTGCTATTCACAAAGAAACGGCTTGCCCGACTGTCGCGCAAAACATAAGCTTCTCTTTCGGGAAGGTAAAAACTAAATAAATAAAATAAAACAAAAAATTTTAAAGTACATAAATCTGAAAATTTTATCTATTATATCTGGGAATCTAGAATAGAGACAGCTGTTCGACGATCTTAAATTTAGCATGAATTTTCATTTAGCTATTACGACCATTCCAGAATTTCCAGGCTTGGCCAGTATTAAATTCTACAAATATCTGTGAGCAATCCATCGACGATCGAATATATAACAACATATTATGTGAGGAAAAGCACATTTTCCGACCGTTCTCAAACCGAGAAGCCGGAGCGACTACCATCACAAGACAACTGGTTTCTTTGGTCAGCACTTCAAAAACTCAAGATACGATGAACGATGATAAAGGTAGTTAGTTAATGTTAGTTTATAATTTTTTACGAAATTTAACGCTTCAATTTACTGAATCCATCACGTTGTATTATTGTTTTTAGTAGGGTTTTCGCAACAAGACAAAAAAGGACAGATTCTTAATTTCACAAACATATACCATAAATTTACCCTTTCGCTCCTAGAGTTTTTTTGCAGGAGTGACCATACTGTACGAGGCAGTATTCGGTACACAAAATTTTTCAATAATTATCTTCTAAAAATTACACATCCATAAATCTAAAAACCACAATAACTCAGAGTCTTGAAGCAAAATCTATTAAAGTTTATGGGCGACTTTCGTTCACAAGTCGTCAAGCAAATGTCTATAGACGACGCTCGTAGCAAAAGAGTTAATTATTCTTCACCAAATTTCCACAAACTTACAAGGAGGTATCAAGTCACGATCTTTATTGAACTTTGACAATATTGTAATTTTTTTCATAAACCTTTATAACTTGCTGAATCTATCATATTAAGGAGAGAGCCTGCTTTAGAGGCTTCAAAAATATTTTTTTTGAAGAATTTTTAGGAAAAGAAATAAATATTTAATTGAAACGAAACTTTCAGGTTTTATTGTTATATTATCAAAATTCTTCTAGATTTTTTTCATCAAACTATATAACATGATATGCCGGGTATAAGCATTTTGCCGATGTGCCACGAGCATGCAGGTGTCATTTGGCGGGAAAGATGCAAGTCACAATTTCCATCCGAAAAGAAAAAATCTATATATTTTCAATAGTATAGATTCTAGTTGAACCTAAAAAATCCAGAAAAAAATGAGAAATTCACCAATTTTTCGCAGCTTGAAAAAAATCATGTTTTTCGATACAAAATTTCACTTTAGATTGTTCAAAAAGTGTGTAATTATAACTTTTTCAAGTTTTTTTTTTAGGTTCAACTAGAATAAAATTTAATCTTGAATACAAAGAATTTTGTCTCGTTTCGATAGGACGTTTAGTTTTTTTTCCTATCTTTACTGCCAATTAGGAAGAATCGAAAAAAATCAAAACCGAAACAATTTGAATTTGCTTCTGAAATTTTAGGGATATACTCTTGGCTAGTCTTAGAAGACATTTTTGCAATAAAAAAATCGATTTTTTAAGCCCCTAAAGCAGGTTTTCCCCTTAAATTTATAATTCTAGTAATAATCAGCCAAAGTAATTTTGCAACATGACAAAAATTGTCTAATTCTTAACTCCACAAACATATACGATAAATTATTTTTTTCCAAATTTCCACCTGTTCTTCAAGGATGTCAATAAAGGTCAGTGACAATATCGACGACCATTATCTCAAAAAGAAGTAAAGTGTGGTATTGTGTAACGATACTATTCTAAAGTAGAGGGCAAAAGATGTGTAACTAGTTATCGCCTTAAACCAGGCGATGCCGCTATCTTGATATAAACGGCCACATTGCCAATTTTTTAACCAAAGTATTTTTGTTCTGGTTTTGAGCACTGTTATAGACCTTATAATATCATAGACCTCTTATTTATAACGTCTATGACCACTGTACGCGAGGATAATATTTATTTGTACGTTGTTTAATTGTTTTGTATAGATGCATTGTAATTTTCAAGTTGAATTAAAAAAAAAAAATTAGGTTTTATTAATCTGTAGAATTACTTACATGTGATTAGGGTAAAATAGTCCACATGAACCTTTGCACTGGCAAGGTGCAAACAATAAGAAAATAGTAAATAAAAAAGTAAAAGAAGTTAATAAATGCAATTTTACAAAAGATGAATTAAATTATTAATCATTCCAACTCTAATGATAGATTCTTTTGAAGAAATTCCATTCGAAGGTTGTATGAAGCGTGAAACAAAAATTGTATTTATATTATTTGTAACAATTGTGTTTAAAAAAACAATAGGTCTGATTATACTAAATTAAACAGAAATATCTAACAAAAACATTGTGATAGCAGTAAGAGTTGATAGAAATTTTAAGTTTAAAAACATATATTTAGGTCATAATTTTTAATCTTGTGGTTCAATCTAAAAGTTAAAATGCGTCGCATTGATTAAATAATTTAGATATTATTATGAAAACTTCTTTAAATTAAAAATAAAAGAATAGACCTTTTGTCGATGTCTTTTCTATCCGGCATATGGGGCGAAAAGAACCAAATGATGAATTTTGGAGAAATATAAAAAAAATTATATTCTGGGAAGAATGATGGAAATTAGTTGAAAATTTTACTGAACATAGTTCGTTAATTGTTTGTGTTATAAGTGCTTTTTGTTATGATATAGTTGGTTTGGGTTTCACTTTAAAAGTCAAAATAGACCTTTGTTAAGGTGACCATACGTCTTGGATATCCACCTTGTGTCCCGGATTTTTCTAAAAACTAGATTTGTTCCGGATTTAGATCTTTTGCCCCGGATTGACTTGTCTCGGGATTTATTTTAAAGGTGTTTAAATATTATGTCAAAATAAAATTTTGACAAAAACATCATAATAAAATTACAACAACCATCAAATATTTAAAAATTATGTGCACAACGAGTATGAAACAATAATGCGTTATGAATGAAAAAATTGCCGAATGAAAAATTCCAACGGCAGGTTAAAATAGCCTCTCACATAAATAAATTCGATCTGTCATTTTCAATTTTACGAAAATTAGCAAAAACTACTATAAAACAAAACGACTGCCTAGCTAATTTGTGAGTGCTAATTTTTCAAAGTTAATTTTATGGGCAAAATTTAACAGAATTTCATACATGGCTTAGAAACAAAAAAAAGATCGAAAATATAAAGATATAAAATTTATAACATTTAATCGAATAATAAAATCTTATTTAAATTCATAAGTTAATACATTCCAAAAAAACGGGATTTTTATAGTTTCCTTAAATAGTATTCGATATTTTAAGTCCAATTTAAGTTATTTAGCAAAAAAGCTGCAGAAAAAAATTGAAACATGCTTCTTAAAATAATTTTAATAGATTTATACATTTCAAGTCCCAATTTGACTTCCTCAGTGAACAAAACGCACAAGTTATTAAGACACAAATATAAATAAAAAACGAAATTAATAAATACGCAATACTTCACTAGTGGAAAAATGATAATAATATATATATTATTTAATAAAAAAATATTAAATAAAAATAATAATTTCGACTATCATTCCACGAAGGATTGTGCCAAAAATTGTTACTTCGATCACGTTGCACTTAATTGTTTTATCATAAACGTTTAAATTTTATACATTCTATATTTTGAACAAATCGATTTGCTGAATAAACTAAATTACATTATTACTTCGAATAATAATCAGCCGATAAATTTTGCAACTGGACAGCAAATGCCTAATCTTAATACCATCATATATCATCAATTAATTATCGTTTTTCTAAATTCCCTAGATCTGCAAGGAGGCATCAAGTCGAGATCTTCACTTCATTTCGATCATGTGGTAGATTCGAAGCCAACTCACAGCGAACTCAAAGTTTCTAGAGATTTTCTGAAAAGACTTTGTCAATTGGGAACCGACGAGATTCAACGAGAATATACGGATGCATTCAATGGATTTATTCAATCAGCAAAATCACTCTCGCATACTGCTTTGTCTCAAGTCCTAGCAAGGCTGACAGCATATGCCCAACTGGAAGGTATGTAATATTATATACATAAACACACACACACACACGAACAGATATATATATATATATATATATATATATATATATATATATATATACGAGAATAAATCAAAGGCATCACATTAAATGAAAAGAAAAAGCTTCCTTGAGAATGTTTATTCTTCCATACGTTTCGACAAATGATGTTATGTCATCTATCAGGGTTATTGAACTTTGGAGAATATCACTATTATATGTCAACTTCAAACATAGTTAAAACTAACATGTACCAATGAATTTGTTTGTAATTGCAGATGCAATGAATTGTAGAATCAAACGTTATTTGTGATATCTCCTTATTAAAATCCATAATGACATAAGATTATGTAGAAACGAGTATTACAACCGAGTAGAGACCGAGAGTACGTATTACAAGAGCGTAGCTTAAATGTCCGATGGTAAAAAGATACATCATCATTATCTCAAAACCAAAGTATAATTTTTTGTTAAATATACTAGTGTACGTAGAAGGCAAAGATATAGAACAACCACCATCTTAATTTTTTTTTTAATTCTTTCAACTTGTTATCAGGATATAAATGTTAATGTATCAATATTTATACCAAACTA